TTCTAATAGCATACATTTAGATATCATTTTGTTAATTTTAAATTTAGGCAAATCTGTTATTTGGAGTAATAGAAATGATTCTTAATATAGACATAAAAATGTTTCTTCAAATATCCTTACGGAAAGATTAAGGTTTAGAATTATTGTGGATAAATTTAGATATTCTCCCAGCAAGTTTAATAAGTATTGGCTAGACCCTGGCATATTTTGTTTCATTGATGAAGTTGGAATTTGTTTTTTAAGTGTATGATTATTTATTGGGAGATAACTAATATTTTTATAATAGTATTTATAAAAAAAAAGGAAATGAAATGAAATGCATTAAGGAACATCAGCACCAAACGGGCTATATAGCTCCAGAATACGTTAAAATAAAACACCTATCGATATCACAGAAAAGTCACACAGCGACAACAAAACAAGACGCTAAAAACCATATCACAAAAAAGTCATTCAACGACCACAAAAACTACTAAAAACAATATCACAGGCAATACACCACATAGCGGTATTAAAAACAAACAAAATATCAAAAACAAACAATGTCTAATCTATTCAAAATTTAAAATAAAGACCTCATGAAGTGAAGGCTGTGCAAATAAATGATGTAAAGATCCAGCACGGTAGTTTGAAATGCTTGCACTCAATCAGAATGTGTTTCACTGTCAGGCGGACCTGGTTCGCCCCTGGTAGATCAATGTCAAAAGAGCCATATAGACTCACTCCACTAAAACATTTTAAACGAATGTAGTCCAGGCTATTTCATAAATCTTCTTTCTCCTTCCCTTTCGGGGTTTGTGCATGCCTAATTTTGGGTAATTTTTGGTCTAGATTTGGAATTTGATGTCTGAAATTGCATTACCTTTAAGATTTGGTGAGATGATGAGAGACCTAAAGGCGAAAGGCTAATTCTAAAAATAGTCGTTTTGTGAAGTGCCAAACTCTAGCGGATGAGTATAACCGGTAGTAGTCTACTTTCAATTTTAGAAGCTCAAAATTTTCATGGTCATCATATATTGAATTTTTTAAGGAGACATTGAAAATTGGTCAGGCTTTCATTCGACATGTTGGAAAGCTTTCAACGAGATTTCTGGTAAAAGTTGTAGAAGGTTGAATTTCGTGTTTTAACATGGGTAGAGATGGCAAATGAATTTGTGGCGGAGTCCACACAGCTCGATGTTACTAAACAAAATATGATTTCATCTTTACG